CCAGTAAATTCATGATTCATGGCAGTACTTGTAAAAAGCAGCACATCCACTTCTAACCAGGGTACAATATATTTGAAAGCCACAATGTATGTTGCAGAGTTTTTTAACATAAATAGTCCACTTTTCAGATGTGCTGTAATACTGCAACTACTATAAAAATTGATGGGTCTCACATCAAAGAAATGTAGTGCTACTAATTTACTCTCAAAAGTACATTTATTGTGAGGACACGCATGCTTCAACCTCAAACTACATTCACAGCAAACTTTACAGGGAACACTAAACAAACTGCCTCACACCTTCTGGTGAGTTTAAAAGGTAACAAGACAAGCATCTTTACACTGATAATATGTTACTGAAGCATCTGAGAGCAGAGCAACCTACTCAACTAGTGCTGACCCCAGTGAAGTGGGTACTGCAGGCAGTTTTTTGAGCATATCCTTTGCCAGAGGTTAATACAGAGGTTTCGCCCTTTCTAGCAAAAGCTTTTTCTTTCTTTTGCTCTTCCTTTCTTTTTTTTCCCCTTTTTTCCTCTTTCCTTTTCCTCTTTTCCTCTCTCCACCATTTCACTCAATTTGGTTAAAAAGCAGACAAATAGTGAAAATGACAGGGCTAAGACAGAAATGACCTTCAGTGGGGCTGCCAAGTGAGATAGGCACATCCAACAGGGAGCAGTAAATATTTCCACCCGGATGACAGTGATGATGAGCAGGTTAGTCTGTCTAGCTGTGCCTCATGCCCCAGTGAACTCCAAGAGTCAGGAGCATTCAGGAAGGATGAGTGCAGTGAGGATGAGCAGGGGAACAGAAAGCTTCTCTTACAGAAGGAGGCTCATAGGCACAGGTCTGGTAGTGTGCATCAAATAAAGACAACAAGGGAAGAGGATGGTTCTTAATTAGTACACCAGGAGTGAAAACCAGAAAAATGGTCACTTAAGGTACAGGACAAGACTTGCTTAAAAACAAGTGGGTATAAAATTCCTGTGAGTCAGTTCAGGTTAGGAATCAGGCAGAGGTTTCTAAAGAGCAAAGCAAGCGAGGCTCTGTAGAGGCCTTCAGCAGTTACTTTGGCTACAGCTGCCATCCAAATGTTCAGCCTAATATTTGTGGGAAAGCAATATCGTGGCTGGCCACATCTCAGTGTGCCACTCATCCTCTGTGTGCACCCCCTGGCATGCCCCCATCGCATGAGCTCGCAGGGAAGAGGGCCAGGAGCAGCAGCAAAGCATTTGCTTCCAGAATGTCAAGTGAGGGATAAAATCACCACTGACTGTAGAACTTGCACGTGGGGAAAATGGTAAGGAGCCAGAGCCCAGAGGATGACACCAGTAGGGAAGAAGCTGGTGTGAGGGAGAGGTAGGCTTTGTTCTGATGTTCTAATCAAGGCTTAGCTGTCTGTTATTAAGCAGACATGATTTGACGTTAAGACTGTTCAGACATTGTAGATAATCAGGCCAGCCAAGTTCTGATTTCGAACGTGAAGAAGGAAGCCATGCAAAGAAAAGTGTTGCAGTGTTACAATTTATTTTCTCTGAAGCATTTGCAAATGATATTTTTCCTGGGGCTCAAGAACCTTTGGCAGGGCCAGGATGGCAATGATGAACTGAGAAGAAACAGTCTAACCCAGATCAGCATCACCAGCTCTGTAACTATAACAAATAATTAATTTGCTTAGCACTTCAAACTCAGTAAAACACAAAACCTCAATGGCCATCTGCACTTGAAAGCTCTTCGGATTAAGGAAGTGTGGAAATTTACACTCCCCAGGCTCTGCTTGAACACTTAAAGTATAATTGACTTTTAGTCCAAGCAAGACAGGCTTTTGTAACTTAATACATTTTCAAAATGGGGAGTGTCCACACATGGAGTTACTCTGCAGTAACTAACTGCCCCCACAGGCCAGCCCTAGCAGCTAACATGGAAGCAAGCATTTTCAGCACTCAAGCATAGAGCCTATAAACATTCACTCTCACTCACTCTCACTCACTCACTCACTCACTCACTCACTCACTCACTCACTCACTCCTCACTCTGTTTCACGCAGGTGAAGGTATTTATCAGGTTTTGTGGGGTTGCTCATGCACATGCCAAAATATTTACAGGGCTGGAACCCTGATTTGTAGAAAGGCACATGTGCTGTGGCCTCGAGTACCACCTCAAAGAAAAATACTAATGCCTGGACTGGGCTAGTGCATCCCACCATCTCTCCCATCCCTCTGATACGTTTGGCTCTCTTGCACTCCCAGATAATGCACATGTGTTCAGTCATACACAAACCCTACAACACCCCTTCCCCCCACGGAAAAGGCAGCCAGCTGTTACAAAATTCAGACCTTTCATTAACACAGTTTAGCGGCTGATACTGCCAAGCAAAACAGAGACAATTAATAATAATCAGGACTGAAGGGTCTGAGACAGCTTATGAGTAAAGGATTGTATTAGCTCTTTAAAAAGGACAAACTTGCTCCTGCCTGGAGTGATAGGGAACAAAGGGCGGTGATGTACAACCAGGGAGGAAAGAGACTCTCTCCGTGGCTTTTGTAGATTACTGTGTGAATGACAGGAGCGGCAGGAGCAAATACCTCTTTTCATTTGCTCAGCCTGCTGGAGAAGAATAGCAGTGCTTGCCAACGAAGCTGCAGCTGTGCTTCAGCACAGTTTAATCACTGTGTATGACTGAGGATAAATTAGCTGCCATTCTTACTCCTATTTGTTGTTCTAATGAAGATTTGCATAAATGTAAGAGTAGGGGTAACTGATACTTGATTCTTTGCTTCAGAGGCCAGGGTGGAAGACTTGCCCATCCTATGTGTTTATGTTTGGGGGCGAATCAATGTTGCCTTTCCATTTGACCCGATCTGCTTCTGGCTGATTTATGGTGAAAAAAGAGTTCAAAGTTTCCTATCAAATCAAGACCCCTGTTGTGTTTCTGCCTTTAGAAAGGGGCAGACTAGTTAGATGAAGAGAGGACTGAGGGATTAGAAAATTACTCCCAACTGTAAAAAACATATATGCATGTTTCTGCAGCTACTTATGTGTATACATACGTGATATATTTCAATGGCATATGTATCAGTGACACATCTTTCTATCCATCCATCCATCCACCCATCCATCCATCTGATGGTAAGGAACCAATTTTTTTTAATGATAAAATATCAGAAAAAATCATATTAGGCAATATGATGAAAAGTAAGGACTTGTAAATTTCTACAAGCCTTCTGTTGTTCATCACTAAGATTCAAAGTTCACTTTTAAATAAAAGAATATCTAACATGAAACAGGCAATTACCAAGGAAGGCGAAAATGACTCAGCACTTCAAAAATATGTGCCACCAGTGCCTTGTGAGACTGGGATACAAATTAAGAAATTGTGTTAAGTCATCAAGAAAGGGGAGGATTTTACCATGAAGCAGAGAAAAAATCCAAAACTACTTCATAATTAAAGAGAAGATTTGAAAATGAAATGTCATAAAATTGCTTTATTTACTGTGGTCAAGACAATGCCTATGGCTGCTAATTGAAAGAGGCTAAATGGAAGAACTTCCCATTTTTGGTATGTTAACTTGTTGTACATGGTAATACGGTATGGACAATTGTTTTCAGTATTCCTCTTACACACTTGATATGCTAAAACTGTTGTTTGTCAGCATTTAGGACAAATCTGTAAGGATTTGAGACTGAGAAGGCATAAATAGTGAATTTCTAAATTTCAAATCACTGCTGGAAACTGTCCAGCTTTCAAGATGACTCCAAAGAGAGTATCTTTATCCCTGTGAGAGAGCCCATATTCACTGCCTGTTTCTCAATCCCTACACAGCTTTGCAGTAGCTCTAGCTCTTTACCTGGTCTCTAAGACACATGAGCAAATATTAATTTGGTTTTTGTACACTTCTGTCATCATTCTGCCTGACTACCTACAGACACTTTTGCATATTTTTGGCCAAACACTAACAGAAATCAATCTTTCAGAGACATTAGCAGAGAGCATTCAATCCACCTGAAATAAATGTGCCTAAAATGGTAACACTCTATCACTCTACCTCTCAGCTGAAAGGAACACCACAGGTTTCAATGTTCTATACAGCAACAAATCCACATGAAAATAAAAGTAGTCAATCACATTTTTGCCTGTTCTCACCTTATTTTTAGTTTTGAAATATTTCAATATTCTATTACAGCTTTTGATTCAGCCCCTGATTATGCCAGAATCTCACATTCTGCCCTTTTCAAAGCAATTTTTAGCCCTTTGGGTAAATTGAAAATAATATTGAAATGTGTAATAAAAAACAAACCAGCAACAACTCTCATGACATATAAACAGATCACATAATTTTTCTTCAATGATTCTTTAGTAATTTCTACATATTATGGTTTTCCAAGGCTACAGTCAGAATTATGTGTTGGTAAATAGGGTAAGAGAAAGTGGAAATTACAGATCTAGTGGTCAATGGCATAAAACAAATCTAAAAGAGCTGAGGGGAGAGGTTAAGTGCTATGCTAGTTAATAAGAATGACAGCTTGCTTTGAATACTCATGCTGACTGTCCAAGATACTGAATAAACCTAATTTAAACTAATTTTCATTATTTGTAGAGTCTGCGTTAGGCATCTATCATTGTCAGTGCTATTAATATTCTTTTCAGAGACCACATTATCAGCATATTTAAATGAAAGCTTTCCTTTTCAATATTTATTAACTCATTAATATTTCTTGGTGGTAATATCCTGGTTGTAATATCCAAATTATGCATACTAAGGTATTTTCTACTGATCAAACTTTCTGAATTAGAAAAATTTATTCTCCAGTACTACAACTGCACTTGAGCTTCTGAAATTCTGCTTTCTTTTTATACTATTTATATGAACAGCACATAAAATTTACATTTTTTGGGTTTTTTTTTCAGTAGGTACCAGTAAACCAGAGCACTGACCAGATATTACTGAGCTCACAAAATCTGAATGACGAATGAATGAGGATATGAAAGTTAATTCATCTTACCGGGGTTACAGTCTGTGAGGAGGGAGCAGATGGAGAGGAGAACTTTAGAAATGGTTAACGCTGGACTCCAGTTGTCTTTTAAAATGTCCAGGCAGATGACGCCTTGGCTGTTAATGTTACAGTGGTAGATCCTTGTCCGGAACGTTACCTGGAAAGGACAGTGTGTCTCAGTACAACAGCGTTCAAGCCAGCAATTACACAATTATTAAGCAATGGAAAACCATAGGAACAAACATTCTGCTTTCCAGGCTGCTACTCTGCTACTGATGGTTAAAGACTGGGCAAGACAAAATAAAGGAAATAAACTCTGCCTCTTGCAGCTGTGGCCTGCAATGAAACTGGTTTGTGCAGGCTGGGAATGGGACACATTTCCAGAGCTTCTTCCTGCCTTGGTCTTATCAATCTCATTATTTTGTATACGGCCAAAAAAAAAAATCAGTTTCAGCCCCTAATCTGGACAATGTTCGTAACTCAGGTCCACAGCTCTTCCACATTTCGAAGAAGTCAGAACAAGACAGATTCTTCTACTGCCTTCATTTGTTCATCATTTGACACAATAGATTAAGCTGTAAAAAAAAGCAGAGGCATCACAGCAGTGACTCCTGAAAAAATTGAAGTGAAATATTTTTGAAAAATGCTGCTCAAACTTCCAAATTTTAGGTTACATTTTTATCAGTAGAGTTGTTTGCAAACACCTTTGGGTTTTTTTAGTAGTTTATTTTGATGATTTCTGTATCTATTTTATATGGTCTTCCAGATGATCCCATAGGTAACAAACCAAGGAAATTATTTTAGCCCAGAATAATGTCCTCCTTCTTCAAGGTGAAGACACACTTTGAAAGAAGCTCATCTAGGAAAGTTCATTTCATAGCTCAAAATGAATACTGAGGCTACTGGATAAGAAGGGACAATGTGAAAAAAAACACCTCTTGGAGGTCATCAAGGACTAATTTCTTCATCAGTTCTACCCAAATGACAAGTCACACCCAGACGGTTTCAATGACATGTTCCTAAAATCTAAAATTAAGACACAGAACTTCAGACATCTACCTCACCAGTAACAGCTCTGCCAGGAGAGGGGCTGGGCAGGCAGGAGACAACAGCAGGCAAAATGTTGCCTGACTCAGGGAAGCTCTTCACTCCTCTGGGACAGTGCTAATGCAAGCTGGGAGTGCCTACAAACCCACCCCTGCCCTTCCACAGATAAACCCCTGTCTGGAGAGTAATGCAAACTGGTGACAGGCACTCTCCTCTTCTGATTTTCTTCAGTATCAGAGATCTCAGTGATCTGAGTGGGGTTGTCAGGCCGTTCAGCAAGCAGAAGGGAGAATACAAGTGAAATAATACAGTACCTGGTTTATTTCTATAAAAAAATAATTATAGAAATAATTCTCTAGCAAACTGAAAAATTCTGTCCCTTTGGATTAAATCAAGAAGCTTTGACAAAATAACGGAAAGAAAAGATAGTAGATTTATGGTATTAAAGCATTACATCCAACAAGAAATATTTTTTCTCCTAAGTACTTTTCCACATAGATCTGGAAAAATGCTTTGGAGCCCATTGTCATGCAGCAGTGAGTTCTGCACCAAAGAACTGTACTAAGCAAGTTCACCAGTTTTAAAATGCTTCTATATTTAAAGGTATTGCTAATTAATTAGATAATTTGACAGTTTGCCACTCTATACCCTACATATTTATAGGTTCCTTCATTTTTCCTGTTCACTTGTGGTTTTACTTATAGTTTTCCAGCCTAAATGCTTCAATTCTGGGACTTCTAGGAGAATTTAAAGTATTTCTGGCACAATGATCTCAATTAATTCAAATGCTATAGCCAGATGATCTATTTTCTTCCCCTCATTAGAAGCCCAAGCTCATTCAGCATTTGGAGGGAAGGAAGTCTTCTGTGAGATCAAAAAAGCTCTTTATTTAAATAGTTATAATTTGGTGAAAAAATTAAATGCCTGTCTACAAAGGGAAGCTATTCTGAACAAGGAAGGTTACTGATGCACAAAAGCCATAAACCACCTAACACAAACTGCATGTCAAAAGTGCCCAGAAAGGGAGATGGTGTGGAGGACCATCCTGTGAATTGTAGGTGCTCATTAATTCCCCAGGCAGATTAACTCCAGGAAGTATTATACTCCAGTTAGAAGTGAATCAGTGACTGCTCCCTAGCAGGATGTCCCAGGACTCAGTAAAAACACCTGCTTAATTTTAAGCAATGTATGCTAACTTTTCAGTATACTGTTGAAATAAAGCTTATGCTTAAGTATTTTACCTCAACAAAAGTGCTTCCCTACACTTCCACAATGAAAAATTTGAGGACTTCATTCAGTGGCATCTAAATATACTGAGTAATAAGATATGTGTGGCCTCACTGAATGTGCGGGAAGCACTGAATTCACTGCACAGATTAAATTATACCCTCTAAAATATTTATGGATGGGTCAGTCTGAGCTTGTAACCTGCTTCAGAGAAGGTCATTGATTTGAGCGTGTATTTTAAGTGTAACTGTTTTCATCCAGCAGAGAGGACAGACACTGCCACACGTTCCCCTGCCTCAGCTGCTTCTGAAGCACTGAAGCAAGGACACTGGGAATTTGGCAGGATTCAGAACCACTGAGATGAATGGAGTTAGTTCACATCTTTCATGAACTGTTCAACACTCCATCGCCATGTCAGGCTACCTGGTGGATAATTGTATGTGAGGCTACACCTGTTTGCAGTTGGAAGACTGTTTTTAGAAAATGCTTTGACCTGAAATATAGCATTTTTTCACTATGAGTACATATTAAACCTGTGAGATTGAGAAATGCAAGATAAGGACTGCTGCTTACTGCTGACAATGCCACCAACTCGCCAAATATGCCAGTGCACTTTAAAATGCAGGCAGGCAGGCATTTAAATATTTAAATAATCAACATATTAGTTGCTTTATAATGACAATATGTTATATTTTATTAATTAATTTTAATACTGAAAAATCAATTCAATTAATTAATGAAAAGAATCACAGTGTTCAGCATTGCAGAAGAAGCTGTATTAATGACAGCCTTAATACACTGGAAGCTGTGGCCTGAAGGTGGCAGGTAACAGAGTTCTCACCCCCGAGGCAGCAGAGTACAAATGGGATGACACATTGCTTTCCTCATCCATGTATTGCCTCAAATTGCTGATAATGTGGGAAATGCTGAGATGTAACTTTCTGCATGTTGTGCTTACCATACCTACATTTTAAGGTTATGCAGGGTCCTCCTATTCTATGTGTAGAGAGAAACCATGTGTTAATACCTTTCCAGGGGAACTGCATTTTCTTTATTATGGTCATATTTTTACCTTTGATGTCACTTAAATGTTTCCTTTAAATGCTGGACTCTAATTCCATTTATCCCTTAATGAAAACACCTAAACAACCCCATGCAGGGTCTTTAAGGAGTGCGTGGGTGTGCAGGCAAAGTCACCTTCAGACAATTAAATGGTAGAGGAGAAATTGATGGGTTTTCTTGATCATAAGTGTTCTCTATGGATTTATTCTCTTTCATTCTGGAATTTAAAAAGCATACCTAATTTTTGTTGAATAAAAGTATAGGTCAGGAAAATGCAAATTACGGGAAATAGAGAAAAATGGGACTACCTTCTGAAAACTGTGAGCACTACAAACAAACTTCCAAAAGGTGATGATAAGGAATTTATTTTCAATCAAATTTTATTCAATGAGTGTTGGAAGTAAAAAATAATAAACTCATCTGTCATCTACTGGTGAATGCCAAACATGCAAAGCTATGTCTGGCTGTTTACTGAGTAAGTTCTAGGAGTGAAAAAAGACTTTATGAAACTTGGGAAGAGGAAACTAAGATGGATTTCAGTTGAGTGATTGGAGGCAACTAGCTGAAGGCATGATAAGTAATTTCTGGATCTCAGAGTGATTTTGAACACCAGTTTTCCAGCATGATGTAGTCTTAAAATAACTTACTATCTCTCTTTTGCATGGAGATCTAAACAGAACAACACTATGGTGCCTGGTACACCATCTCACACACTTTCAGACGCCACTGAATTCAGTTGCAATCTTCCTCAAAAACATATCAGGAGGAAGAAATGATTCCTTGCTTTTACAAATTACATGCAAGGGCTTACAGTGTGCCCTCAGGATTTGCTTTCATCAACCTGTTTGGGTTCAAACCCTCACCTCCTGCTTCTCAGTCACTGGAGCCTGGTGACTGTGTAGGGAGAGAGGAAAAATTCCCAGAGCCAACTGGAAAATAAACAAAAACAACCTCCTTTTGCTCAGCTAACAATGGAAGCGGAGTTGAGATCCCAGGGCTCTCATTCCCGTGATTTTGGGAAGTTCCTTTCAAGAACTTTCATTTCTTACAAGGATGGAATCCTGCATGCCTGCTTGAGATGAAATTTCTGTCTTCCTCAAATATTCCCCAGGAGTTCTGCTTTAATAAAACTGCCGTGGCACTACCTGAAGTGGAAGAACTTGTACTGCATACAAAAAAGGTTATATATATATCTATATTGAAAAAATACGATGCCATTTATGATGATGTTCATAGAGCTCAGGAGAGAGTAAGTTGTTCCCATCTCAGTTTCTCAGACTTTATGAGCAATACATTTGTCCACTCAGAGAAAATAAAAACAAGATTGGGCCTACACTCTTCAGTTATATGAGAAAAATAAAACAATCTAAATGAAAAGTGTACATAGCTCCGAATGAGACAATTTTCATGCAATAATCTTTATATTAATTAGCACCCTTTAATTTCTTACAGAGTGCACTTCATTTATCTATGAGCACTGAGGCTGCCTTTCTAAGACAGGATGGACTATTTCCAGTTTGTTAGTACATATTTGTAGCATGCACATGAACAATTGTTGAGATACTTAATGATTTATCACAAAAGAGTGTGCAAAAAATGACTGGCCATATGATGCTCACGATTTAGGAGTACATTTTAAGTTTACAGCAAGAAATTAACTTCATCTAGCTCTCAAAACGCTTGATTATTTATAATTTTACTTGGTAAAAAACAGATATCATTTATTTTATTGAAGGAAAATATATGGTATCTGCATTAGCAGGAAATAATAAACTGTAATTATGTTTGCTTGACCTACAGAGAAGTCTGATATGCAAACTG